CCTCTTTCTCGTCTCCATCACTTGCACATCCAGCTCTTCCGCCTCCTTCCACCGCCCTTGATTCCAATATGTTGAAGCCAGGTTGGCCACGCTGGCCAGCGTGTCTGGATGCTCCTCTCCAAGCACCCTTTTTCTCGTCTCCATCACTTGCACATCTAGCTCTTCCGCCTCCTTCCATCGCCCTTGATTCCTATATGTTGAAGCTAGGCTGGCCACGCTAGTCAGCGTGCCTGGATGCTCCTGTCCAAGCACCCTCTTTCTCGTCTCCATCACTTGCACAAACAGTTGCTCGGCCTCGTTGTATTGTCCATCACTAAAGAGCGTCATGGCATATTTCCATAAGAGATTCGATCTGTCTCCACCGTCAAGCCCAGCGCAACTGTATGACAGAGCATGCTTGGCATGTGGAAGCAACCGTCTCCACTTGCTTCTATTCTGATGATCATTGTCTGGGAACACTCGATATAGCTGTGTAATAGCATACTGGGTCCATTGGCCTAGCTGCTTCTGCTGCTGGAGCCACTCTCGCAAAGCGCGATGCACTAATCGGTGAACATCAAGTGCAGAATCTGCAGGCCGCCTAGTAATAAGAGCATACCTGCTAATGATGTTGACCGCACTTTCCCTCTCCCCAGGCTGGTTTGCCGCTAGAAGGTCAAGCGGAATGTCCTTTTGGGCGACGCAGGCGGTAAGGAACAGATAGTCTGCTGCAAGTGTGTTACTACGTTGGATCTCGTCTATGGAGATGAACAGTGTAGTAGCCACAGGGTTCTTTGTAGTACGCTCTTGTTCTTTGTCCTCGGACGGTTTGCTACTATGCCCAGGAGTGTGTTCGTTCTGCCTCTCTAAGAGTAATTGGTACTGCTGAAGCGTCACACCTGTAGTGTTGATATAGGCTGCTGCTTGGATAATTGCTAGCGGAAGATATGATAGCTCTTGTAACAGCTGCTGCTGCTCGCTTGCAGAAATCGGAATGTCTAAGTAGTTTTCTAACATCCTTTTGGCCGTGTCGGGGGCCAGTTCCTGTAGCTCCACAACGTTCTGCACTGCAACCCGCATCGCAGTGTTGATGTCAGTTGCTGTGAGGACGACAGAGCAGAGGTCAGATTGAGGTAGGTAGTCGGCCAAATTAACCTCTCGTGCCACTGATAGTCCACTAGACCCTCGGCTTATGTCTTCTGCGTTGTCAAAGATGAGCAGACATTGTCTTACTCGCTCTCTTTCTAGACGACGCTTAACAAGCTGCTTAACGTGCACCTTCTCATCGGCCCAGCCAGGAATGTCAAGCTTCTGGGCAATACTTGCATACGACTGATCAAGACTGTCTACGTTGTTTGCATCAATCCAAAAGACC